CAGGCAGGCGCTTTTGCCGCTGAGCTAAATCCCCAGCCCCCCACTTTTTAATTATTAAACACTACCAGAGAAATGAGGTACTTGATACATTGAAAGCCAGTTGTTGCTGGTAGTCAGTGGCAAACCTGTCATCTCCTCTTTCTTAAGAACAAAAGATTCCCAGCCCTATAAAATAACAAACATCAGACCTACACAAAATTACTTTAGTTGGGGCATGGACTGCCAATCTGAGTTGAGTTTGGCTATAATGCAATGTTTCCATTTGTTGTTTCGGGGGCTGGGGATATAGCTCAGCGGCACAGCGCCTGCCTGGCAAGCGCAAGGTCATGAGTTCGATTCCCAGTACCGGGAAAAAAACAAAAACAAAAAAAAAACCCATTTGTTGTTTTGTACCATTCATGCAAATATACTAGAAAAGATAATCAATATAAGTAAATAATCAATATCATTTTGGATACATATAAGTTCATGAAATTTTACTGTATGCCTACACAGTTTCCCTCTGCACGATGCCCAGGGGTTATGTTACAGCAAATGGTAGTACGCTAAAAGTAGCAGGTTGTAGAGATGATCTGCGGGATGCTTCATTTGGCCCACTGCTCTGGGCCGTTCCCTGTCTGTCTGCTCCCCAGTGCCACTGCTTTGCACCTGTGGTAGATGGAGGAGCTGGTGTCTGGTGAGACGCACTCCTTGGTCTAACTGGGAAGCATTGGACATTTTTCTTAACAGACATAAAAGCAACTCTCCACTTTCTTTTTCTCTTCATCTTTTCTTTTTCTTCCCTCCACACTCTCCTCCTTCTCCTTCTCCTTTCCTTCACTCTTTCTCCATCTCATGTCTATTGGCTCCTTCTGCTGCTCTCTACCTTCTCCCTTTTTTTTTTTTTTTGGTGCCAGGAATCAAACTCGGCCTAGCACTTACTAGGCAGGTGCTGTGCCACGGAGCTACATACATCCCTAGCCCGCTTCTTCCATTTTAAATGTAAGAAATAGTATTCAACATGATCTTCAATGTTGACCTTGTCGTGATAGTATTGGATTTATGATTTATTACTCCAGTTTTGCTTGCTAAATTAAATTTGCAGATACTAGATTTTGCTTGTAGATAAGACTAAGAAATGTTGGCAGCTATGTATATACGTATGTAGGTGCATGCATGTGCTTTCATGAGGACAGAGGTGTGGCAGAGACAGCTAGAGACATGTGGACTGTATTTACTTGCAAATTAAAATATTGCAAGAGACAATTCAAAATGACAAATTTATACTGGAAATTAGATTTTACTATCAACTGGTTTGGATGCTACCAACTTTTTCTTTTTATCCCTGACATTTACTTTTTTGGACATTCCCTTAAAACTTGGGAAGAGCTATTCAATATTAAATGTTAACAGAATGAATTCAAAGTAATATCTAAACTGCATTGCCTATAAATTGGGTAGATTGCTTCTCTTAAAAGAACGAGGACAAAAAACTAAAAATTTTAAAAATCTTGTAACCTGAAAAAATGACAAGGCAAAAGAACATTATCCAAAAAGACTCAAGAAAAATTTTTTAATTCTGAAAATGATTGATTAGCAGAACCAGAAGAAAATTTCCAAAAATCAGTAAACTAATGCAGAAGAATGCTAGGAGACATACTCTCTTAAACAAAAACAAGAAGCTACAAAAATTTAACATTTTAAAATGTATTAAAGGAAGTGAAGCTGGAGAGATAAACGAGATGTGGAAATGTAAGAAAATCAAGTACGGTAGCACTCACTGAGTTAAAGTGAATATAATCTGATAGGAGGGACTCAAAGTGGAGTTAATATTTTAGGAAATGGGATCATTAATGTAAAGGACAATATTGTGCATTCTCATGGAATGCTAATGAAAATAACAAAAGATTTCCAAAAGGGGAGAAAATGACATTATGGTGGAGAGAGAATGGAAATCTGGGGTAAGAAGTTGATGGTTTTGAAATGCAGTAATCAAAACTGTAACCAAAGAAGCATATTCCTAAATTAAGAAAAGGCAATGCAAAAATCTTTGCAACACTTTAAGGAAAAAGTCATTGAAGAGACTCAAACTGGAAAAAAAAAAAAAACTTTAAAGATTAAAAACGAAGAGAGACACTAACTGTTGGGATTCTCAAAGGTGTGAGTGCACAAAACTCAGCTTCGGTCAACTAGAGACAAAGGCATTTTTTGGCTCTTAAATGGTGACTCCAGAGATAATTGGGCTTCCGGCTGGCTTAGCCCAGAAGCTACAGCCCCATTTTTATGTCCTGACATCCGAGTTTCACGTCTGGGCACCAGGATACTAGAATAAAGCATCTGTCCCATGAGTACTAGGGAGACAGTCCACAGGGTGCACTCAGAAGAATAACACAGAACACATCCTGGAAAATGTTTGAATTGCATGGGGGAGGAAAAAAAGCCCAGAAGAATCTAATAAATCTATTTTCAAACTCTACAAAAAGGCCAAAAAAAACTATACTGGCCTCGAACTTTATACTTAACAGAGTTGTCTTAACTGTTCGAAGGCAGTAGCATGCTCCAGGTACACAAGGATTCCACTACTTTGTGTTTGTTGGATAAGCACTAACTGAGAAGACCTCAAAACGTCCATTGTAAGAATAGACGCACTGATTGAAAGTCCTAGCAGGATACTTGGTGGGATTGTCCAGACCTCACACCCACCTCTTCCCACAGCTCTCAGGACCGGGACCTCCTAAGGCCTCACCTGTTGGTACTGGCCTATAGGAATGTGGTTGGGTTAGGGTATTTTTCACAACAGCATCTGGATGAGGCTTAAAAGCAAATAATTTCATTATGAATTATTAGTCCTTATTATGAGAATAGCCCTGTAATTGGACTTCAGAAATTCCCCTGGAAAGCCTCAGGCAAGAGTACACCATCAGATTTAAAAGTCTAATTAAATGTGATTAAAATTATGTCTCATTTTAGCCCACCTATGACTAAAAAGAAATGGTCTCTGAAGATCTTCGACAAAAATAGAGAAGAGTAGGTCAAAGTGAAAAAGCTAAAGATGAAATGGAAAGGGAGATGAATGAGGTAAGAAAGTAGTATAAAGACAAAGTGAGAGTGGCCAAATTACAGTCCCCTTAGGAGGCAGGGAGCAAGGAGCAAAACTGACCCTTAGGAGAAGCGAGGAAGAGATGTAAAAGGCAATTGGGTGAAACTTTCAGGTAGATGACTTGTTCCTTCTGAGAATATCATTTCTGGCATTTTTTCATTTTTCTTTAACTTTGCTTTCTCTCTTTGAAGATGATTAAAACTAATCTGAAAATGGAATTAATCAAAATATTCGGTGTAGTTGCTTAATAATGTTTGAATACAACATTATTACATCGAAACAGTTTATGAGGAGTGTTGAAATAAGAAAGTGCTTGTGCTGTAGTATTCCCCCTGGAAGAGTGCTCGAATGTCATTCACGTTACCGGATGTGTTCGTGTTGTTATTAGTACCATAGCCCTACGCGTTGTTACAATACAGGTATGTTTTCATACCCTTCAGTGAAGAGCCACTGCCCAGGGTATCACAGCTCCCTAGATTTCCCTTTCTCAGGAAGTCCTCAGCGGCTCCCTACCAGCTGGTGTCCTAGGGTTCTCCAGAACCCGAGTTCTTCTACATTACTTCATCTCAGGCTACAGAGCTGTATCGTGGGAGTGCTCTTGGTTGTAATCTGTACATTTTCTTTTAAGTTCCTTGAAGTCATCCTGTGTAGCAGTAATCTCTTCCAGCTACAATTTGAATAGTCAGTGGTCTGGGAAATTCATTATGCTCCTTATAATATTGAGACTTTCTACAAGGTCCAACTCCCTGCAGATCTTTATTCTGTTTCCCGGAAATGAGTAAAACTTAGAATTGAACATCTAGCTGTCTCATTGTTGTTCCTTCTTTGTTTGCTCTGAGGCAGCTTCAGCATTAGCATTCACTTCTGTTAGCCTTCCTGGCATAGAAGAGCTCACCAGAAAGTTTCCCAGATACGTCTACACTTGAATCCCTACAAATGGCAAAGGAGATTTCACATGTGTAATTAAGATTATAAACCTGAAATAGGAAGATTATTCTGGACTATCTGGATGGGCCCAGTCTAATCACATGAGCCCCTTCAAAGCGCACATCTTTCTCAGACTGGAGCAAACACTGGGCGGAAAGGAAGGTCAGAGGGATGGCGGGCACCAGTGGAGCTTGCTTGCTGTCACTGGCTGGCCCTGTGGTGGGGCCCGTCAGGAACTGGACAGAAGCCTCGAGGAAGTGAGGGCAGCCCTGGCAGACAGCCAGCCAGGAAACAGGGATCCTAGTCCCCCACGCTGAACTGAATTTGGCCAGCAACCCCAGTGAGATCAGGAGCAGACTTATTCCCAGAACGTCAGGAGTGGAACACAGCCCTGCCGACACTTCGATGTCAGCTTTGCCTGAGCCGAAACAGAGAACCAGCAGAGCCATCGCACGCCTGGATCTTTGACTCACAGAACTACAAGATGATGGCACATAGGTATTCTTTAAGCCACTAGATTTGTGGTAATTAGTTGCAGCAGCAACAGGAAATTAATAAATCAACATACAAAGTAAGGCATCAAGAAGAAACCCAACAGGACACAATGGAGTGAGCAGTAAACACCGCAGAACAGACACTGCTGTGAGGGGCCGTGAACTTGCCCTGTGGCTGAGAAATGCCCCACACAGAAAGGAGCAGCAGTTCTTAAACCAAGTGGACCCCACGGGAGCCTGTGCTGAGATCCCTACTAACACTAAACAAAACGACTGGGAGTTCAGAGTGGAAATTTTATATATATATACATTACATTTGTGGAAGAAAAATACTTCAGACCAGGGATATAGCTCAGCAGCACAGCGCCTGCCTGGCAAGTGCGAGGCTGTGAATTCCATTCCCATACCCCACCCCACCCCAAAAGAAAAAAAGAAAAATACTTTGGCGATGAGACATGTTCACAGAGGGGCCTTCCACAGTGCTGTAATTAAGAGTGCAAGTGTAGTGTTTGCAGCTACTTGTTTGTTTACTTAAAGTCAGAATTGTGTACAGTAACAAATTGGAGAGAGGAAGAAATTATGCAAAGGGGAGATTGTTTTGACAGTGGGTACAAGCTGTTCCATTTGTCTGTCATTTCTTCTGACAAGCTTTCTGAGATGTTGGCACAGGGTGCAGGTGTTACTCTATGGATACTTTACCCCAACCAGAAGATATAGTGAGTTGCTTTACGATGTAAATTACACTGGTGATGTTGAATTTGCTAGTATATGCTGTAATTTTCTAAAGGTACCTAAACACAGGGCTTAACGCTGTGGAAACGGACTGCCTGGGTTTAAATCCCCATCCTTCCACTCAGCAGCTTTGTAGCCATGGGACAGATACTCCACTTCCCAGTTTCAGTGTTTCCTTTCCTGTGAAAATGCATAATAGGTCAACCTCTGTCATGGTTTATTGTGAGAATTGCATATAGAAACACTCACAGTAGTACCTAACACACTGATTGGAAACACTAAATGTTAGCTAGAATTATGATTGCTTTTTCTCAAGCAGAAAAATTCATGAAATTGGGGCTCTCTAGGTCCTTAGACCCAAGAAATAGTTGCTCGTAAGGATTCCCCCAAGTGGAGATGGCCTAACTATCCTACATACAAGAATCCAACCAAGATAACCAGTCATATGTCAGTCCTTTCTGTGCCCTTCCACTTACAACACTGTTAGTGTCTACTTCAAATTAGTGAAACTGAAGAGAGTCATTATAGCCATATATTCTTTAGCATAGAAATGTCATTTTTAACACATTAAAGAACATTTATCTGCCTGCTACTCCTGTCCAGATACATAGTGCATTTCTCCTCAAACACATTTGACCATGAAACATGGTTTGGTTGTTTTTTTTTTTCCCCAAGTTGTATCTTGAAATTTCCTGCAAGTGTTTTGCATGTCTAGTATGGGAAATAACTGCCTTAAGACAGAGCATATTTTACCAACATTATTTAACATTTATAAGTGAAGAGTATTCTGAACTGTAGTTGTGCTAAAGATGTTACAGTTCCAGTGAAGTCTTTCCCTTATTTTGTAAGATTGTCAATGGCCCTTTTTAGGTTGTGTAAATGACTTCTCCCAGTAGCCCTGTGGCAGGGATAGTGAGATCATGTTTTGGTAGGGCATTATCCACCACTTGGCAAAGACTGAGTCCTGAGATGTGTATTGAGTTGAACACTCTAAGTGTGTCATAATAAATTCAGTGAGTTTTTAATAAGATAATTTGTATGTTCCACCAGTAAATACTGAGATGGTAAGTTATAGAAAGCAATATAGCACCCTCTGTGTGAAGAAATCCCTTTCTTACTGTCCTAAGCTTACCTCTTAAATGTTAGAGACTGACCCTGGATTTGCTATTCAGGATTGGTGAACACAGCCATGCTTAGTGTTCCTGACTTTTACAGACGTGAGCTCTATCCATCTCCACCCTTGGTCTTTGTCTTTCTGAACTAAAAAAGTCAACATTGTTTGGACTGTTAGTTAACTGATGTCAAGAACTGTGAAATGAAATCTTCCCCTATTGCAAATTAACAAATTACTCTGCCATAGTTGCTGAATGCTGGCAGAAGGTACAAAACTCTTGAGTTGAAAACAAAGGACAGTTTTTTTACTCACATCAATAGGAGTCACTACGGTATCAGCATCTGCACTGCATCCCCAGTTCCCATGGCAGAATGAGACCGCCAGGTAATACTTGCACTCACAGCCAGTTGTGTTGCGGAAGAGAAACCCAAGCTTAGGAAACTGGAATGTTTTGTAAGACAGTAAGTCAGCCTGACCTAGGGCCCAGCAGACGACATTATGTTGAAGAATAAACAAACTTACTTGTGTTCCAAAGAGAGATGCTGCGTCTTCTAAGGTTGGTCAGAACAAGCGCAGGCAATGCCTCAGCTTCCAAGATGTGTAGACACGTAATGGGCATGCAGAATTGTCTCCCAGCAGTGGCAGCTGCCTCCGCCATTCCCTACATCATTATTCCTTCCTCTGAAACAGTTCCAGTGTCATTATATACATCTCAATTCTGTGCCCAGCCCTGCAGGCTTTAGGTGAATATAAAGTTAATGCTTTAAATTCCACAGTACCTCTACTTTGTTTACACGAATATCTCATGAATGTAGAACCATATTTGGCACGTAGCAGTCAGTAAAGACTTTAGGTGAGTATAAAGTTAATGCTTTAAATTCCGCAGTACCTCTACTTTGTTTACATGAATATCTCACAGACATAGACCTATATTTGGCACATAGCATTCAGTAAAGATTTGTCAAATGACTGCATGAATTTCCTGTCTGCTTACTGGAATTTGTAAATTACTGGCTTTGCTGTGCAGACTCAAGGGTGATAGCAGTTTATTCAAGAAAGTCCCTACAGTGATTCCAGGAGTCATCTGCCTCAAACTCCCCTCACCTACCCTCACCCCAGCTTGCCTTCTGGCTGCTGCATCCCATCCTGCAGATTTCATCATGAATATGATCTCCTCCAAGAGGCCTTCCCTGACCCAGAATACAGTCAGGGCCCTTCGGTGCTCACTGTCATAGCATCTTGGTTTTTTCTTCATAGTTCTTGCCACAGCTTGCAAGTACCTATTTTAGTGTTCTCTGATTTAAAACCTGTTTGTCCCATCAGTCATGAGGCTAGGAGCCAGCCCATCTCTATTTTGCTCAGCGTTGTATAGCTAGTGCCTAACAGAGCATGGCGTAAAGTGGCCAGCGAGTAAATAAGTGATGAAGGAATGGATATCTTGTAGCCCGTAGCTCAGAGCCTCTCATTCTTTGAGTATCTTTGCAAAGAATGGGCCAAAGGTATTATTTCATTCCTGCCTTTCTCAAACCGATGTTACCATCTTTCTTCCCTGGTTGTTCAGTCTCAGGACTTTTTTGGAGTGGGTGCAAAACAGGAGTACGGTGGGATTCATTTTTCAACTAACGAATGAACAAGATTTTCAGCTGCTTTAGATTATTCTGAGTACCGTGGAAAATAGCAAAGAAGTGAAAGACCAAAGTCTCAAAGTGTTATAAACCATGTGAACAAATAAGAGAAATATGCATGATGTATTAGCATATAATATTTAGCAAGCAGTATTAAACCATGCACATGTAAGTGCTAAGCTATGTCGTGCAGTTTTTCTAAACTCTAAGAGCTTAGGAGAGTTAAATATTACCCTAAAGTGGACTCGAATAATAGGAGCTGTGTGAAGTTAATTCTGAGGTGGGTTTTTTAGGTGTTTAACTGTATATTTAAGAGGAACTTCATGAGGCAAGCTGCAGAAGTAGCACATTCTTAGAAGAGCAGGACCTGGCCAGGGTGAGAGGTGTATGCTGGGAAGTATGTCTGTTAGTCTGTAAGAACTGCAGTCTCTGTGACTCCTTCGCTGTTCAGTTAGAGTAGACAGAAAGGAAGCCACGCCTTCTGGCAAATACAGTTGAGGTGAGGGAAGCCAAAGATGGATCCCTGCTGAGGAGTCTCCCTGAAGTAAATAAACTCTGAAGGGAAGACTTGGAGAGTCATTCAATGTACTCATAAATCCCAGCTATTACCAAAGATGAAAGGGAAGTGAAAGGCATGAGGAACAATAGGAAGGAGTGTTCCCCAGCCCCCCAACTGCCTGTTTACAGTAGGGGAGGAGCAGCAGGACTGCCCAGATGGCACAGCCAAAGTTAGAATGAAGCTTCCTTGCCCTAAGGCCTCTTTAGGAAATCCTGTTTGTGACGGTGGCTTCACTGTGAAGGAAGCGGGAGCCCTCCCAGTGCTCCTTCTGGACGAACGCTGCTTTCCAGTGCCGACTTGGAAATCGTGTTATCCAGTGCACTCAGCTAGACAGAAACCGCGTATTGGATGAAGCTGGGGTCAGACCCTGTTTTGCAGCCATTTATGTACCTTCCTTGTACCACTGAAACCTGGTAACACAATATCTTAAAAACAAGATAAGTGTCCTCTCTTTTCCTGTGTGGGTACATTAGGGAGTGATGGTTCTGATGGCTCTAAAAAAGCAGGAAAGGGCAAAGCCCTGTGGTGCCATTTCTTTGGATCACATTACTTCATTAAGAGAATTATCCTAAAAGCCTGGTAACTATAAATTTGGCTGAAAGTTGAAGAGAGCTGGGTGAAAGCATCATGGAATCCAAACCAAGATAACCAGAAGTTTTACCCTGAGAGTCACATGTCTACCCATACGTAGGGTCCTACTTTTCCTTCTGCGTTCAGGCGCTTTCTGGATGTGGAGGTGGATAGTTTCCTGTCCATGCCAGACCTCATGAAATGAGATGTGCCTTGCCCCGCAGACACTGACCAGGCCGTGACACAGAAAGGGCTCTTCCTGGCCGCTGGCCCCTTGTACATGCAGCACTGTGGCAGCACAGCACCAGGCCCCAGGTCTGACCCTGTGGCCTTATAATCTGAAGACCTGCACTGGCAGCCCAGGTCATGACAGCCTCCGTCAGTTGATGTGGAGTTCCCTGGCAGTTAGTATGGAGAGGCAGGCTGATCCACGTCACTTCTGTGTGATAGGAGAAATCCCTAAGATCCTGGGAATGTGGGAAACAATCAGATGGCTGCTCCATTAATGAGAGAACAAGTTCTCCTCTCTTCAAGGTGGACTAGGCCTTGGAGAAAGAATGTTGGCTTTTCCAGACTGTACACATTACTTAATGTGTCCTTCTGAACTTACTACGTGAATTGAGAGTGGATTTCACAAGCCTTTTTCCTATGAGACTAGGTTAGTAACATTACGGTTAATTATTTAGTAGTGAGAAGAAATATAGTGGAGAGAAAAAAAAAAAAAAAAAACAGATTTCTGGAAGCCTAGAAGTAGAGGGTCTCAGAATATCAAATTGTTCTTATGAAGATAATACACAACCATTCTATTACTGTCTTTGAACAGAAGAAAATATCATAATTTAAATTCTCTAAAGATCAAAAATTATCCCTTCCTGGCTTTATATGGCCACTGTCCCTGATACTATATATCCTTCAGGGAGTTCCAGTTCTCCCACTGAAAATGTAGTCTGATTATAGGAAAGAAGGATCCCAGTTTGTCCATGCTACTACTTTCCACGGGCTCTCAGTATCTCTGCTTGTGAGATGGTAAAATAACCATGTTCAGAAATAATGAGGAAGGTAGATTAGGACTCAGGGGTGCTGGCTGAAAGAGCTTTTTGGTTTTAGCTTGAGTCTATGTCTGACCATTGCACTTACAGAAAAAAAAAAAAAAAAAAAATGGACTCTATTCTTTGCTTTTGCCTTCTACCCCCTGCCCCATGGGCCTGCATGAATAGCAAGTTTGGCTTTGTTTCAGTAGAACCCTTTGGGCCCATTTCTTTCCTTTTTTTTTCCTCCGTCATCTTCCCTAAAGCTGATAAGACAATTCCACAGGGAAGAAACAAATGGTACACTTGGATGAACTCTGTGAAACACAAAGGCTTTTCCTCTTATCCCCGATCCTAATGTGATTCTTCTACATTAAAAAAAAAAGGAATGAGGCAGTATTATGCTGAATAGTAAAAATCCTATGTATACTATATTTGTGATGTCTGGAATAGAGCAAAGGAAAGCAATATTGATAAAGTACATGGATTGTAAAATAGTGGTTGACCTGCTTACCATAGAACAAATCGTAAAGCACCCAGGACAAGTATTTAAAAGTTTTCAGCTCTTACCAAAGATGAAAGGAAAATGAGACTTCATCAGCCCTAGCTCCTCTATCTTATCCTTCAGGTTAATTGTTGTTATATGGCTTGTGTTTAGATATCCCCAACCCTCATATACTCCTAGCTGGAACTTTTTGGACACTGCTGGACCTAGGGTGTGTGAACGTGAATTAAAGGTGTGTGAACATAGATTAAGAGTGTGGTAACTAAATTAGTCCACTGATTGGTTTAGCATAGGTCTGGCTATGGATATTGGGAAACCTCACCCTAGCTGTAGGTGGCACCACGCAAAGGCCTTGAAGCCTGAGTGGGACCAAAGGGACAGGGAGGCTCGCTGCTGCTGCTGCTTGCTATGGTTGTCTTATTGCCTACCCTGCCATGAATTGTCTCTCCTCTGCCATTCCTTTTGCTATGTTGCCCTGCCTTGGAGACAGCTGGCTATGGAATGAAACCTCAAAAAACTGTAAGGTGTAATAAACCTTTCCTCCCTTAACTTACGGGTGTCAGGTATTTTGTCCCGTCAACGAGAAAATACCTAAGACAAATGTCATCTTAGAGAAGCCTTTTCTGACCACGGTATTATTCCTCACCAGAGCAGCTTATTTTCTTCATAGCATTTACTAATGATTCCCTTTCTTCCTAAACTATAAGCTCCACAAGGATAGAAACCGTATCTCTCTTACCACTTCCACGTTCCCTGCGCTTAGCACCCTGAGGAGCACGTCATAGACCCCAAATGGAGTGCACGAATGAATGAATGAATGAACGAACAAACTGCTGCATAGCAAACTTGCTCGGAGTTCTTCATGGACTCCCAAGTTCATTGAAGTCACCTCTTTCCTTTCTTATAATCAACCTAAAGGATGCTGCGTGGTCTCAATGTCAAACTGACTGGTGTGGTTTCCGTTCCTTAATTTTTCTTTGAAAAAAAACTTGGAATATTTTTCAGTCTCACATTCACTCACAGCTCCACAATCAGATCTGAAGGGTGCCTTGTAGTGAAGGGGGAAAAGTCCCAGTTTAGGAGTGTCAAACTGATGAACTACTCCACACCTCAGTTTGAAGTGCAAAATGAAGATATTACTATATAGTTCCCACATGCTGTTAGTCTGTGGCTAAATAAAACAGTGCATGGAAGCACACTTAGCCTTTTCTTTCTTTCATTGCTCATGCTCAGTAAAATTTAGCCCCTCTTACTGTTGTTTATATTGTTAAAGTACCTTATTGCATCCTTTTTCTAGAACAGGATAAGGGTGGCTTCTTGTTAGAGATACCATCAGATGTGAAAAGAACTGAAAGTCAAAAAGCCCAGGCCTTGCAGTGCTGAAATTCTAGGTAGCACCTCCAGCCTAGGTCACAGCAGACGGGTGCCACAGCCAGATGACTCAGTGGTGAAGTAATGACTCATGGTCATGGGCTCCTTATGTGTCTCCCCTCCGCCCCACTGCCGTCACCACAGAGGTAGGATTGGTCCTGAGTCTAGGAAGAGGCTGAGGATGCAGGTGAGCTTCAGGAAACCCACCCACCCAGTGAGATTAAAGCAGCTAGGTAGGACTCTCTGGAGTCAGAGTCCACTAAGTCCTGGACAAAGAGGAGTTGTGGACCATGCCTGGCATTTTATTTCCATAGCACCTCACAGAATCTAAAGTGCAGTCCCCAAAGCCCTCATTCTGAGCCACAGGAAGAAATACCTCATACCAGCTCATAGGGAAACTCCAAAGAGCAGAAAAAACTTCAGTCAGAGATGAAAATGAGTGTGTCTCACCATTCTTCTATGCAGTGCTCAGAGGGGGAAAACAAGGAGACATTTGACTATGAGACATTAATTGAAAGGAATGTACTTCAACTGTGTCCTCTCATATCTCAGGTTCTATGACTGGATCACTGGTTTCAGTGAAAAAAGAGCAATGACGTGTGCATCTACTGATCTGTCTGGGCACAGCTGTCTTTTACATTGCCTGGTAAGGCAGGTGCTCCCCCTCCTACCTCAAGCAGAACTCAAGAGGAGCCCTGTTTGTCTTAGTAGAGTAGCTCTAAACCATGTGGGATCAGCAATCTGTACTTTTTAAAAATAATATTAAATAAAGTGCATATCTTACACAGGTTATTACATTTTATGTAAGCTTATTTAAATTGAATGCATTGTGTTCTGTCATTTAACAAAGGTAATACACAGTTACTGTAGAACATTCTGAAAATGAAAGTAAAGAGTACAAAATAAGCCTGAAGCATACTGTTGTTGTACCAAAATATAAGAAAATGCTCAAAAAATAATGGGAAACATATCACAAAGGCACAGGATTTAGCTTAAAGGAGCCACTGGATAAGCATGCAATATTTTGAGCCCCCAAATACATCACTGTAGTAAAGAGTCTTCACTGACTGGATAATTTAAAAACCTATAGGTCTGTGCTGGTGTAAAGAAACAGGAGGGGAGATAAAGTTCTTACAGCACAATGGCAGCTGTAACATATAATAAACAGATGGGATGATGAAAATTATCAGTGGGTGCTGAAACTTGTAAGGGAAAAGTTGATACACACCAGGAGATTTACATAAACTCAGAGTAGCTCTCTAGAAAACACTTATTTTAGAAAGGAGAAACAAAAAGGTGAGTTACAAGCCAGTGACCAGGAGATGCTCATTATCAGTGGTTCCCTGGAGCAGGCTGCACAGCAGGAGGTGAGCAGCCGTCCACAGTTGCTCAGTGTGGCAGGCGTCTAAGTTGTGGATCCGTTAAATCACCCAAAACCATCACTCCCCTTCCATGAAATTGACTTCCACGAAACCAGTCCTTGGTGCCTAACAAGTTGAAGACCATTGATTCAATGGGTATCTTTCAACTTCTTTTCCCTATGCATTGTACCATTTTAATTTTCCTATAAAATGTGATCATGCTTTTTGTAATATGCTTTTCTTATATAGAAATAAATTCTGATTTTATATACGTGTATTTAAATATTCTCTAGTGCATGGTAGACCAATATAGTAAATATTTATTGAATGAATAAAATTAAGATTTCTTTAAGGAAGGCTGTGATGTACTTTTTTTAATAATCAGAATTTTCTCCATTCTCATGGTTATTCCCTTGGAACTAATTCCTGGAAGTGGAATAGTGAAGTAAAGAATATTTAAAAGCCTTTAATCCATGCAGCCAAATGACTTTTCTGAAAGATTCTTCTACTTTACTTTCCCTCCACGAGTATATAAAATCCATGCCATTTAATACATTTCTAAAGCAGAAGATTGAAATTCATATGTGTGAAGTACCCAAACTGGGACCTGGCAGTCATCAGTGAAAAAATAACAGTAACTGTGGGTATATCATTTAGCTTTCCTATCACTGAAACACAATACCTGACACCCCTGTAACTTAAAGGAAGAAAGGTTTAATTTAGCTTAGGGTTTTAAGAGAGTCAGTCCCTGGTCACCAAACTCCCAAGACAGATACATCATGGCAGAAAAGTGTGTAAAGCAGAGCTGCTTAGATTATGGCAGCAGGGGAGCAGAGCAGGGGAACTTGCCCAAGAGGAGCAGGTGAAGAACTATATAGTCCCCGAGATCATGCCTCCCTGACCCAACTGGACCCGCCAGGAGCATGCTCTACTAATCCGCTAGACACTTTTTAACGCAATGAAATTGACATTCCTAGATTAATGGTCAATAGTATGTGCCAGTACTGAGACAATATATGACACAATAGTATGTGCCTGTAGTGCAGCACTTGGGAGGCTGAGGCCCAGGAGTTTAAGAGCAGCCTGGGCAGCATAGGGAAACCCCCCTGCAAAAGAAAAGAAGAGTCACTGAATTCCTTTCTCATGTGTAGGTTAGATCCTGTTAGAACCCAAAGCTGGGAATCACTAATAGTTTCAAGCCTGTACTCTCCTACTTAATTGGAACAGGGGTATATTTTCTTAATGCAGAAATCACCAGGTTGGAATAGAATCTGATTTAATTGAGCCAGTCATATACCATGTCATATACTGCCAGACCATCCTCGTGTAATTTTTTCTACCAGCTGCTCTAGAGATAGAGTCTCCTGCGTCAGTGGAGGCGAACCTACAGCACACGTGTTACTGTATTTTTCTTTTAGGGCACAAGTGTTAATGTATGAGCAATTATTTCTAAATCAAAACGTCAGTATTCAGCTTTAATTGCAGCATTGGCACTTTGCAGTAAATAAGTTTTGCATTGCAGTTTGGGCACTTGGTCTCTGTAAAAGGTTCGCCAGCACTGTCCTATGTCAAGGTAAACGATGAAGAGAAAAACCCAGCTCCTGTCCATGATGGTTTAGCACCCACTGTTACCAGCCCTAAGCTTCCAAGAGTCCGCCTTCCGTTTGGACTTCGATGCTGCTTCCTAACTCACATGACCACGAGCATCCAGTGCAGTTTCCCAAGGTGGGCAGGGCAAAGTGCAGGCTCCACACACATTCCTCGGGCAGCGGAGCAATGTGTCCTTCTACACCAGTGGGTGCCATGGCAACTCTTAACCAGTTGACCTAAGCCTCTAACGAGCTGGAGCAGGGAGTGTCTTATCTGCTGGTCCACTCATTATTCAGGTTATTAGGAGAACCAAGAAAAGAACAGAGAGATACCTTTGGATACATAAGATGAGATGTCAGTAAAACTGTACCATGCTTTGGATGTGCTTATATTTCCTTTCATCTTTCACTGGCAAGCATGTTCTCGAGTGATGACAGTTGGGCTGATTAAGAGCCGTTAGTCAAATCCAGTAACAGTATTAATCTGTGGTTGGAAATGACTGTTATAGTAAGTGCCAGGCTATTCAGTTGTGGTTTTCCTTCCAGCTTCCAATCGTGCCAGGCTTCCAGCAGGAGGAATAGAGGCTGTGGTAAAGGAAACCGTTGATAAACAAAAGAAACCAGAAACTGTCACTGCCCATAACAAAAAAAAATTACAGAGAAGGAGGGGGAGACAAAGGAAATTGTACAATGCGGTTTAAGCCCGCATGGTCTGGTGTGATCATGAGGCATGAGACACTGACTCCAATTTTCCAGGGAGAACAGGAAGGCATTAAGCAATAAACCATGCGCTCCAGTAACGCCGCTGGGAAAGAAAGCCTCACTTGAAGGAAGCGAACGAAGGACTGGCGTTTAGACTGTTTTTGTCAGTTTCCTAACGTTGCTCCTCAGACCACTGATAACACAGAGGAACCTGGGAGTCTGTTCGAGTTATGTCAGAGGAGTTTTCCCCAGGGTTCTCTTTACCGAACTTTCCAGAACAATTGTTCCATAATGTTGCTGCCTTTCACCAGTAATCAAGAAATGCGTGGTCACAGAGAAATACTCAGTCTCTTATTTACTTTCTTTACTTCAAGAATTTTAAGCTGGCAGCTCTCCATGGGTGTTCATTCACCAAAGCTCTAAGGTGTGTTTTGTTTTTTCAGTACTTCAAGGAGAAAAACTCTCAGCAAAGCTGTATTAAGTAAACTGAAAAATTAAATGGATCTATATAGGAACAGAAAATACAAGCTCCAGAGTAACAGAGAGGGCAGTCTGAATACAATATATCAGAAGCATTTCATCACCTCCCAGTACGAAAGTAGCTCTTTCACCAGCTACTCTCCCACATTTCAGTGTTCCTAAGATGTCTCTTTTTTTTTTTTTTTTTTCCCCCCACATTTGATTATTTCCAAAATCAGGGTGTGAGTTGTAATCAATGGGTGGTATCTGAAATTGGACCAAATATGGTAGTTCTTCTGGGACTACAAAAGTAGCCGTTTTTCTGCACGTCATTTCCGTGGAAGGGCTGGTTTACTGGAGGGGGGGATCAAAAGATGTTTTCGAGCACATATTTAATTTATGGGCATTTTAATTTAGTGTGCAAGTGATGTACCTTTGAGACACACAGAGATCCTCAGCACTGGAGTAGACTAACGTAACTAAGGTTCAGAGTTAGCACCACCCTCACAGGTCACCGCCAGTCAGTGGCAGAGCAGAACTGGGGTTCCTGCCCAGCCTGGAAGGTTGACACAGTGTGTTTGTCCTCTGCCTGTCAGAGAAGGCACGAAGCAGGAGTTGGGAAGGCAGACACTGCCGTTGTTCTGAAGCATCCTTCTCTCTGGGCATTGGCAGAACTCCCAAACAAGTGCATAAAGGTATCCGGAAAGTTCAGCTTCAGATACGGGGGTCTGTGAGACGGGAGACAGTGAAACTCTGCTCAGGGGCAGAACGTGGGATGGGGGAGCTGCTGTCACTCAGCTACTCCGCCTGCATCCTCCTCCCTCCAGCAAGGCCATCCTGCATCCCACAGATGCCGGGCTCGTCTCACGCAGTAAATCATTTATTTAAAAACAGCATTGATGCTAATAAAATAAGGCTCAATGTATACTAAAAGTCTGTTTTGAAATGCATTTTGGAAAACTAATAAAGAATAGTTCCATTGCTGTATAAAGAAAATTAAAGCGTCTTTTAGACATTTAGCATGTAAAGTCAAAGTAATTAATAGAAGGCATTAGTTATATGCTAAAATTACACAACCTGAAAGTGCATTTTATGAGCAATGCGTACCATGTTTATTAACATTATACCACATTTATATTAAGTACTTTTACCCGAAATGCTTTTAATTTTTAAAGAGTTCTAATTAATGCAGATGAATGAACAGTACAAACTTCCCAATTTTAATTTACTCCAAGGCTTTTTCTTTCCCAAGAAATATGTAATCACCGATGTGAATACCATTCAATGTGCCCATCAGTGTTTGATATTTTATCTTCACAAAACTTCTCTAAGCCTCAGTTCTTCTTTCAACTGGAAACAGTAGTTACCTAGCAAAGTGTTGTTAGAACGATTTGGGATGCTGTGCGTGAAACAGTAGAGCAGTCCCTGTGCCAGTGGCAGCGAACTTATGGCACATGTACTGTTTTTCTCTGAAGACAAAAGATGTTAATGTATGAGTTTTTTCCCAAACAAAAACGTCAGTGCCCAGGTTTAATTGCAGTGCTGGTGATAAGTAAGTGGGTTTTAGATGCTAGTTTGGGCACTCGCCTCTGAAAGGTTCACCATCACTGCCTTATTCCATAATAAGGTACTTGGTACCTATTGATGTTGAAGAAATTATCTACCTATTCAACACTCGTCTAGGCTGCACTGGATTTTATCTATATAATTTTTTTAAAATAATAACCTTAAGGTTAACAACTCTTCCATACTTTAAAATTTCTTTCAGGATTTTAAGGTCAGAAGAGGGTAGGGATGTGGCTCAGTGCTTGATCTTAGTTGGCATGCCGGAGGCCCTGGACTGGATCCCTAGCACTGCCCAAAAAAGAAAATCCTCAGAAATTCCTTTATAAGTTGAAAGAATCTAAATTTGTTTTTCAAGGAAAAATGTGTCCCTCAGTTACAATTCCAAAACATCCAAGGATATTCAAGAAGTTAGTGAGTAAACTTCATATTGGAAGTAGACATTCATTTGCTTCATATCTAAAATCTGATCAAATTGTTTGCTAGACCCACAGGGAGTTTTTGACTAAACTATTCAGTTGTTATTTAAATCTTCAATTTTGTCAGAGGTCTGTGAAACCACACACAGCCTGGCCACCCTCTGTGGCCCTATAGTTACTTCTCAAAGCATTATGTCTTAATATCTGCATATTTGTCTTCTTCTAAGACAAACAACTGTATTTTTATTTTTAATGTCTTTTATATTTTTCATATGAAAAAGTACTATCTTAGCAAAGTTTTGAAAATTTTGATTTAGAAAAACAGAATCATAAAAGAATGAAAATTGCCTTAAATCTATGGAAAAGTAATATGTATTTTAACATTTTCATTACATCTTTTTCCAGGGTTTTATATATATTTACACATAATTAAATTTTGTGTTATGTAAACTTTTTTTTCATTTTAAAGAAAAAAACATAAAATTCCAAAACAATATGATAGGAGGGTAACAATGACTAATACATTGCATATTATTATCTTTAAATTAGTTACTCAGGGTATGAGATATCAGCATTTAAGTGTCCAAACAATATTAGCACAACCTTATATCTTTTAAACGAACTGACAGAAATTAGTAGTATAACTATTTTAACTTGCACATATGTATTATGCATGTCCAGTCTCGCAGATTTTTAACCAAAATGTATTATTACGATATACAAGGTTCTGAGTTTTTTAACTGAATACTGTTACATTAAAAAACTTAGCCAGTTTTATCTTTCTTTTATAAAATCAAAAATATAGCAGTGGTGCCTCTCTAGAGAATGTGTAATACAGATGGATCATAAATACAATTATATGCCCATAGCTTCCTCATTCTTACAAATTCTTTCTTTTTTTTCATAAATAAATAAAGTGCTGAGGCTGAAGACTGATATTAATGTTTGACTTAGAACACATTTTTAAATGTGTTAAGTTGCAGTTGAATATTTGATAAAAAGTAGAATCAATAAGAAATCTTAATATACAGTATTAATTCCAGCTCCTACTCTTAACCACATGCATAACTGTGTCTGAGCTACAAACTTTCCTGAACCCTGGGCTTCTCACCTGAGGATAATAATGCCTATGTTTCAGGAATGTTTACAAGGATTTGAAAAACTAGTATCACCCATAGTTTCTGTCCCTTTGGTTAAGCCAAGTCATGTGGCAGTATTGGAAACTGGAAAGTAGACATTCACAGAAGTATTACCATTGGCAAATAAATGTGAATAAGAATGTTCAGACCCACTTCTAAACCATGAAATGTCCACATTCTAACAAGTTGGCAGTGCATTCAGAGAGGGTGAGCATTTCATTGACTGCTATATTCATGGCATCCAGGGCGGTGTTCCATACTCAGTAAAGAGTCTCTGAAGAAATGAATGAATGAATGAATAAACCAGCAAGTGAACAGATGTCCAGGCTCCAGCTAGTCCTTTAAACTCTCAGGACCTTGGTTCCTTAATCAGTTATGGAAAAGACCACATTCAGGCACACAAGTGGAGGAGCGGAGGAGGGTGCTGCAGCTGATGAGCTTCACTGCCATGGGCAAGGAATAAGGAAACATGTTGTCCCTTATATTTGCACTTTGCTCACTGTATCATCTTTAAACTTTTCTGGTGATCTTTGTAAGTAGCCCAGCAGTGTGTCGTGGGTGTAAAATAAACTCAGGTATTTCATTCACAGATAGGACCAAAACAGCAGCATTGAATAGCTCTTGGATTTTTAGTCATAATGAAACAAGGAAAAGAAACAACAGAGGGGGAAGCAGCAAGCAACACATTATTCAACAAAAATGAATGACTGAATGAACAAGCATTCGTTACACTTACTACTTGATTGGTAGCATTACTTTTATTGAGCAGGCTCATTTTCCTCCTCAGCAGTACTAACTGCTTCATTCACATGGTTTATTAGTTTTGTATTATTTTCATCTGTGATACAACGCAGGACAGAAGCTGAGATATCTGGTTTTTACAGATGAGCAGAGAGTAAGTGGCCTGCTGTGGGTGATTCGTTAATCAGTTACAGATCTAGTGTTAAGAACTGGGTCTTCTGTCTCCTGGTCAGTGCTCCTTTCCGTTACGAATGATTAAGTGTTTCTGTCTTATTCCAAAGAAGTCTCTACAGCAGACCCAACCCTGTCCTGTTCTAGAAATAGCAATTACCTGACAGGCTCATCCGCCAAGATGACCAATTTCATGTGTTTTAGGGAACTAGGATTAATCTTTATTTTTTTCCAAAGGGAAGTAGCAGTAATCATGGTCCAAAAATAGCGCCTCATCTGCTATATTCTGCTTAGTAGGTGATTTCCCAAGGATGATCCAGTGCAATGAGTCATCACTCTGAGCACTTACTAGTTCATGATTTCTCTATTTTACTAACCCTTGGTGCTTTCTGTTGCATGTTTGTTTAATCGTTAGAGCTCTCCTGGGAGATTCAGGGTTTCTAACTATGAATATAAAACAGGACTTGACTTCATCTCCCATGCCCCTTTTCCTTTTTCTTCTGCTTTTCAAACCTAAGATAATTTGTGATTCAGGAGAACAGTCAGGATTATGACCTCAGATAGATGTACCACTGTTAAGTTCGTCTAGGATTATTAGCAACTCATCTCATTCACAGGATAAAAATTTAAAATGTAGACAGTGTCTAGAAAACTGTCCAACTTTTGATTGAGAGATACACAGATATGCTTACAGAGGCATAGAGAATATTCGGATGTTTTTAAAAATCCATTTTCCTGAATGAGAAGATTGACTTTTATAAAAATA